AAAGAAAATCAACATTCCGAAGGCCGTATGGCTCCGACCAAGATTCGAAAAGAAAATTCAAGAAGGAAATTCAAAAAGAGACACCGAAATTCCCGCGCGATGTCCGCGCGCCCAAAAGTCCCACAAAACAAAATTAAAAGAAGGGAAACGAAAGAAAAGAAGCGACGTCAACGTTTATTAATCGCGCACTCGGCGCGCACTCCGCATCCATCCGACCAAGTTTCACCCCCTTTTCCCCGTGCATTCCCGAATTGTCCCCAACTGTCATCAGGGGCTCGTGCGCAAACGAAGAAGCAACGAAGAAAGCAAGGACACACATGCAATTTTCCATCAACCCGTCCAATCGACATGGGACCCCTCTTAGCACTTCGCGCAGAAAGTCACGCATTACAGAAGCTAGTTCGTCACACCCTGGTCTTAGCAAGCCATACTGGCCGGCCACTGGCCACTTGCAGAGGCCGCCACGACATTTGTTGAGAACATGTATAGACTTGGAAGGAGGGCGGTGCTGCGGGCACTTTGGTGGCAGAGATGTACATTGGCCGGGGATAAAGTGAGGGTAGAGGTGCCAGAGATCACCGAACACATTCAGCAGCAGATACACTTCGAACTTTCACAAAGATGGCGGGTCACCAAATCACAACTAGACCTTTTTAAACAAACAGGAGATGTCAGGAGAAGGATTACAGCATTTTGCACAGATTGGTTGGGAGGGGAGAGAGAAGGATGGATAGCAGAGGTGGAATGGAGTGGAGATGGGGGGGAGGGACAGAGGGATATGGAGGAAATGAGAGACTATCACCTAATTTTTAAGGACTGGACCGACATAGAACCCTCCTTCCCACTCCGCCCCCCTGACGACTTCCCAGACCTCTTCCCGCCCCACGCCCTTTCCCTGTCAGAAATTCTGTCCTAAATTGACAATTACCCAGCAACTTACTCTTCTAGCATTTTCTTTCATATGAGGAACTCTCCCCTGGAGCCCCCCAGGGAAGCTTTCCTCCTAACTGAACAAAGGATCATTACTTCCTGCAGCGGTATCAGAGCTTATTGAGACATCTGGCGCTCCCTGCGGGGGTGAAGGGATACGGGAAACAGGAACTACATCACTATAATCTACACATATCTGCTCAATAAATCCCCTATAGACAGGGCAATCAATGTTGGCAATGCCTACAACCACTTACAATCACTGTTCTCAGACATTCTCAACTTTTGTATAAGGGACGCTGGACCCGTTTTCCAGCAGGTGTAGCTCCCCACCAATAGATGGAGCCCCCCCTAGGTGTTAGTGGTGTCTGCTCTTATCAGCAGCACTAACACTGACGGGGGGTTCTCAAAAAAAA